AGTCTGCTCTACTATTTAACTTGGGGTTAGGGAGAGACTAGATAGATTCATATCTTTCCTAAAGGTGTTTGCATGGATGGATGAATGTAATGAAATGTGACTGGAATTTAAATTTTTTTTTTTTTGTTTTTTTTTGTGATTGTGGGGGGGGGTTGTTATCCTAAAATTTAATATTTTAAGCAGTATTTTAGATCAGATGAATAAATCCTGTATAAAAAGCCATAGAACCAAAATGGAGATATAATTTAGAAGTAAATTCATATTTGAGCAAAAGTCTAAATCATTTATATGATATTGTTACAAGCCATTGTTCACTTTCATTCTCACCCATTCTGACTGCAATGTATTAAATGCTACTATCTTGATAATAAAGTGTGATTCCCTCCCTTCCCATACAATAACTTGGTAACCCAAGGTTGACATGCTTAAAGCTTAGGGGAAGTGATGACTAAATATCAATTTACACTGAATAATTACTTTAAAGATTGCATACAATGCTATCCAAAATATCTGGCTTAAAATTTATGAAACAAAATAGAAGAAATTAGAATCTGAAATATTATTTTTCACATAAATTTTCCAAGTCTGGAAAGATTTTTTTAAACTGTTTAGCAGACTGTAAATTGGATAACTGAAAAATTAGTTCTTAATTTGTGAATGTGGGAAGTGGATTGGGTTGAGAACTTTTCAGCAAGTAATCATATTCAAAATGGGATTAAATTTTTTTTTGTTTTAATGGTTTTAACATTTGTCAAAATAGTTCATATTTGTACAAATGCATAAGTGCAGTTACCTTGTAAATGCAATCCAAGGAAGAAGTGGAGAGAGGGTAAAAAAAATTGTACCTTTCTTAGAAATGTACAAATTACTTGTTCTATTACTTAAAAAGCTGTAAAAATTTAGTTATTTTGGTGTAAATGTTTATTATTGCACGAGGTGAATGTTATCTGGCCATTTATAAAATGTTATACTCTTCTATTGGTCCCTTTTTTAAAAGAATGGCAACTGTACAATAATTGTGATTAACCCATTGTAGGATCTTAGGGATACTAATACAGGGTGCAATGGGTAAATTGTTACCATTTTATATTTTTAATTTTGTGCCTGTGTTTATATATATATATATATATATATATATATATATATATATATATATATATATATATATATATATATATAATGTTGACTGCACACTATAGTAGGGTCAGTTGGGCACTGGCTGTGAGAAAAAGAGTACCATGATGCAATTCACTCTGCCAGAAATTTGGAAACTGCATGCTGTACTGCTTGGCATTCATGCTGGAAGCTCCAATACAAACATTTCAGTGTTTGGGTGTCAATCTGAGGACAGTGCAGAGGATTTGGAGAGAGTTGGATGAGTCTAATGATGATTACAAAAGTGTTTGGAGTGATCGCTAGTGATGGCAACGTTATGCCTCCATTCATCTACCCACAGGGCCTCACTCAACACAGAGGCCTACATCAAGTGCTTTGGGGAGATAGTGCTGCCCTGGGTCAAGAGGGTGGCTGCTGGAAGACTCTGTCTGGCAGCAGGACTATGCACTATGCCACAAAAGCAGAAGATCCCAGTCATGGCTGTTGGAGAAATGTCTTATAATAGCAATGATTTTAAAATATTTAAATTGTAATTACAAAAAAAAAATTACAATTATATAAATTAAAGTTACTTTTCTTTAGATAAAACTTTAAAAACAGTTAAATTTTAAATTAATTATAAAGAGTGTTTCATGCGCATTTACAAAAAAAATTCACAACTATCAATTACATTAATTTTTTGGCTTAGCAATTCACTCTTGAAGATGATCTTATATGAAATTGAAAGTACTTGGGGAAAATAAAAGAAATGAAAAAAAGCTATGGCACCTTCCTAAATGAATTTATTATCTTCTACACTGGTTAAAAAAAAAAAAAAAAATGGAAAAAGTTGAAAATACAACTGGAAACTTTAAGAATATTTATTTAGAGTAACTTTATCAGTTTCACAGTTCTATGATTTTTCAAAAGTTACATTGAGATGGAGAGAAATGTGGCTTTGCTATGTCTCACATCTTTCAGCCACATGTCACTCCATCACAGTTTAACTTTTGAAAATCATAAAACAAACTGGTAAAGTTAGTCAAAATAAATATTCTTAAAGTTTCCAGTTGCATTTTCAATTTCTCCCCCTCACCCCTCCAAATATTTTATTATTGTAGCTGCAGAAGCAGATGCCTCTGACAAGAGTGCCAGTCTTCCTCGTAGGCTGATCCTGAATTCATACAGGCAGCCCTCTCAAGGTGTGAGTGGGAGAAGAAATGAATTCATGCTCTTTCATAAAGGCAACTGAGCAAAGTGAAGAGAATAACTTTGACTTGGGATTTCATTTTTCCATATCAATAGGCCTGCAGTTTATTAAATTTAGGTTGGAGGATCTTCTATGTGCTGTATCATTTCAGGACATGAGTGATAATGGCTCATCACAACTTTGTCTTTTGCAGCCCTTAGTAAGATTTCTCTTTTTGCTACTCCTTCCTATTCTGTTCTGCCAATTAGGTAGGTTATTCGCTGCTTTTCTTTGTCCTGTTAGTGTCAATTTCCAGGCCCTCTTTTCTTTTCATGTACCCTAGAAATTTCAACTCTCTCTTATAGGTATCCTTTTTGTTTTCGTTTTCCTTAAAATTTCCTTGTTACTGTTTGGGAATTTCTTTAGTTTTCTAAGGCATATCTTGTTTCATCAATTACTTTTGTGATTGCATCACAATCACTCTTTTTTATTCAATTATGTGATTCTTTTTTTCTCTTTTTTTTTTTTCTCTAACTACTGGATTCATATGATAAAATGTGTCATTTTGTCTAATTGCTTCTCAGAATAAATTGTATAAACCTTGAAGATAAATTACCTGCTATGTGAGGAAATGCTTTTCATCAAAGTGACCATTTACTCTTTGCTTCTCGTGTTTGAAGAGGTTTAACAGTTACTATTTACAAGTATAGTTGTGTTTGATAAGAAATTTAGTTTCAACTTCAATTCCCTATTCTGCATCAGCAAGTTTGTTTTTTGCCATAATCTTGTGCATAGCTTAGCCTGCTGGTCTTGATGATTCTTTATTGAGGAATCCTGTTGGATATTGTTCTGTTAAAGTAAATCTTTAGTCGAGTCCTTTCTTCCTCATATCTAATATCCAAGAAATTGTCATGATACATTTGATTTCAACATGAAATTTAAAGCCTTTAAAATTGCCATACAAGCACTTGATATAACTTTTTCTAAACAAACATCCATATAAAATTTTATAGTTTATAAAAAAAAAAAATAGAGAGAAATAATCACTGATAGAATTATAATCACAAAACATTGGAACCTAATTTCAGTGTTGATGTAAATTTTATTTAGGTATTCCCCCTGCCCCAAAAGTGTTTAAAATGTATTTTTTAAAAAAAGAAAAAGTTGAAAAATCTTTCTTGAAGCCTTCATTTTGGTTTTAATTCCAAGCAAATAGATTAAAGTTAATGAACAAAACTAAAAAATTACTTAAGGGATACAATGTGAACATGTTTTCAAAAACTTTTTTTTTTTTTTTTAACTAACCAGTAATCTTAAAAAATTTAGAAAATATTTCAAGTAATTTATTTTATTGAATTTTAGGTACTTTGACTTTATAGTCTTTATTTACAAAGGTGGCTGTTGAGAAAATGTTTTAAAAAAATAACCAATAAATTTTTAATTTATGATAGAATCTCTCTTGTTTGATAATCTGAAGAGACATCTGTATTTACAAAAATTGAAACATTTTATTGAAAAAAAAAATTCAAAATCCTTTTTAAAATACTAGGGTACATAGAATTATAGTGAGTTTTTTTTTTCCATTAATATGTAAATGCAGTTTTAATTTAATAACAATATCACTTGACTGATACAAATTAATAGAGAATTTTAAGATTTAAAAGTTTATAAATTATTCTAATTAAAATTAAGAAAAAAATGAAAACAGTTCTTGTAAAAATTTATTTAAAAAAAAAAATTTCTTGAAACAACAGTGTCCTTAATATATTAAGCAGTTAAAAGCTTTTCTAATTAACAATGTCTTTAGTTTTATTACTTTTTTTTATTTTAAAATTGAGGGCAGCTTCTAAAATCATAATTCTTTTGATGATTTAAATTCTCCAATAACAAGTATAAATATTAAGTGATAAAAAAAACCAAACCAAAATCTTTATATATATTGATCACTCCTCTCTATAATGCAAAGGTTTTGATGATAAAATTTTAATGTTTTTTTTTTTTTTTTTTTTTTTTTTTTAAGTGAATTTTTGGAGGTACCTAATTTTAGTTTATATAATATGGACTATACACAGAATTTTTTTTTTTTTTTTCTAGCCTGATAAACTTAATAGATTCTCAAATTCTAAATCATTGTGCACATGTACTGGAAAGCAGCCATTCACCTGTTGCATGATAGACAAAATAATTTATTTGGTGTCGAGACCTCAAATTAACTCCTATAAAACAGCATTATATTTGTATGATTTTGCTTGATTCTGTCAAAATGATCTAATTCAATTGTTAATTTTTCTTTACTTTATTTTTCTTTTGCTTTACTTGTTAACCCAGTTTCATACTGGCTAATCAAGCAATGAAGTAAATATTACCTCCCTTTATGAACTTGGTAGTTTTTGTAATTATTGAAATAAGTTATAAGAGCAGTTAAAATTCTTTGTTCTGATAAAGTATTTCTACATAATTCAGTAATACTACAATTAATAATAATGAACTACTTTTTTCTTTTTTTTTTTAAAGATATCTCTCTCTCTCTATATATATATATATATATATATATATATATATATATAATGTAGTTAAGTGTCTGTATTTAAATATATCTAGTAATGTAATTAAATATTCATATGTTACTACTCATTTATTTCTATTAATGCCCTATTTCTTGATATTGAGCACAAATTGTAAAGACTAATCCTTAAAAATATTGCTTACAGCCATATATTGAAACCCTGGTTCCCATATGATCACCGATGTTAAGCAACCTTGGGCCTGGTCAGTACCTAGATGGGTGACTATTTGGGAATACCGGGCTTGGATGTGCGAGTAGTGTAATGGATAGTTGCTCTAAATTATTAGTCGAGTTCCAATTTCAGTTGGGTTCATTATATTCGCTTATACAAATACTCTTGTAAAAGGTATGAATCTACATCTACTCCATCCAGCTATGGGTTAATTAGTAAGATTTGTATCGCTAAATCATTCTCTACTCTCATCCCACCCCAAATTCTTACAGTCTAAAAATATTTTCTGGCATTAAATAACCTGCAAAGGGTTAGTTAAAGCTGTGAAAGAAGAAAAAGAAATCACTCAATCACTAAAAGTTTTATCTTTCATACTGATCATGTATTTGTGTGTGTGTGGGGGGTAAATATACACGTTTACACATGCCATAAGTATTATTTATAATTGCAACAAATTTGCTCTTATGTAGTAGCATCAGTTTAAAACTCATTCAGTGTCACAAAGCTACTATATCAGTAAAAATGTATTAAGAAAAACAAGTACAAATGCTAGTTTCACATTGGGCAATCTTTGGCAGGTATGCATGTGTAATATATTCATTTTGTCTAATATGTAAACTCTTGAAAATTTAAAGTATTCCTCTTGTGTGTGTATATATATATATATATATATATATATATATATATATATAATGGAATGGACTAAGTTTGACAATTATTTTAACATATTTTCTGCATATGTTATTTTTATAGATAGAAATTTTCTATTTATAATAAACAGTATGAAGTGCATTTACAGGCCTGGATGTCTGAGGAATTTCATAGAAAATATGTGTCCTCCGACAGGAATCAAACCTGTATCCTATATGGAACCGTCATATAGCCTGACATGCTATACCATTTTTTTTTTTTTTTTTTTTTTTTTTTTTTGTCCTTAATAATAAAGCTACTAAGATGCAGAGGGTTACTTGGTATTACAGAATGGGGAAAAAATATTAAGGAGTAAGAACAATAAAGAATTAAAAGATGGAAGATAATGATTGACACTGCATTTAAATTTTTGAAGGTCAAAGTTGACTGAGAAGCCAGAAGAGAGTTCCACAAGAAAGAAATGCAATAGAAATTATTAGCATAGAACTTATGGTTACATCTAACCACTTCAACTGTAAAATGATGAAACCTTGCTGCCAATCTAATGATACTTAAACTCATTAAGTCTAGTACTGTAGAGAAAAGTTCAAGAGAACAATTACCATGAAAGTATTTATAGAAAAGGCACAGAGAAGGTGTAGGAAAGCAAATGAAGCCGAAATGCCAGGTCAATAAATAATTTGCTTATAAATCTAGTGATGCCACCCTAAATGTGAATTCTTTTAACTTCTGTCAATCTTTCACACTTTGAATTCTTAAGACAAATTATATTTTATGAATTCTTTCTGGTCAGCTGTTAATTGCTTACTTTTTACCTTGCAGGGAAGTCGGGATAACATGAGCATTGTCCTCATAGCTTTCCCTGGAGCACCTAAAGTGTCGGAGGAGGCAATCAGGAAAGAAAAAGAATTGGACACTCGTTTGGAAAATAAAATTAAAGGTTTGTAGGAAATTCTTTCTCACCTCTTGTTTCTCTAAGTTTTCAAGGTGGACTGTGACTAATTGTCTAAGGTTAGTGTTACTAAATTACTTTTAACTTTTAAAAAAAAAAAAGGAAAAAAGAAATATTGTCTTAACTTTAAACTGGACCTCTTAATGATTAACCCTCTTTGCATAATATCCAAGACTGATTCCTCCCCTCCTCAGTTGACTGTTGAGAAGACCATTATCTGTCTTTGCATTTAATATGTATACTGATGCTCGATTTTTTTTTTTTTTTTTTTTTTTTTTTAACTAATAAGCATTTTATCACTTTACATTTTGGGTTATATTAATTTAGGTACCTCCACTTTTTTTTTCGCTAAAAGACAGCATAGCATGATGAAAAAAAGCCCCAAGCATAATGAAAACAGTTTTATTGTCAAAATATTTATTATTAAGAGGAAAGATCAAAGTATTTCTTAATGATTTTTACTTCTAACACATTCAAAAGTTTGGTTAAAAATCCTTTTCTTTTTTTCTTTTTTTTTTCTTTTTTTTCTCTCCTTATGCGTCAACAGTGTAAGTTTCAAAAACTCTTCAAAACCCTGTCTTCGTTAAGTTATTAAGTGAAGCCTATATTTACTAAGCGAAAATTGAAATGCTTACTGCAAATCATCATGCACTAAGATTTTTAAAATAATTAAAAAAAAATTTTTTTTTATGTGTATAAACGTGCCCATTTTGAAAGTATGGGTGACCATACATGACTTTATCAGAAAATAAGATCAGTCATGATAGTAAATTTTAAGTCAACATTCCTAAAATTAGATAACTGAGAATATTTCCAATATTAAGATTACTGAGCACTTACAAATTATATTTAAAAAAAAAAAAAAAGCGTTCGCACATTACTTTCTTAAATTATGTTTTAACAGATGTAGAACAACAATAAAAATGTCAACACCTTATCAGTGCTTGTTAAGTGATACACAGGTGATAAAAAAGCATGTAAATCATAGCTACTGTTTTTTAAAAATCCATTTCTCTGTTATTTCAACTTAAAGTAAATAATAATTTTTTCAAATCAGATTAATTATACTTTAAATCATCTAATATTCATCAAATAAAGTTTCAGAAAAGTATATTTTATTTTTTGAAGATTTTTTTTTAATACAGAAAATTATATTGCAATGAAAGACGTCTAAGAAAGGGGTGCTCATCAACTATTTAAAAAAAAAATTAAAAACACTTATTCCAATTAAATATAATTTTTGTTTGAAATGCACCAGAGTATTTTGCTTACTGGAAATAGTAAATTTAATACTTTAGCTTTCAATGAAAGCTTCAAAAAAGCTTTTTCATTTATGAAAATTCATTTTAAACCTTAGGTATACTGAAATAGTGGAAGTACCTATATTAAGGCTTATACCCAAGAATGAAGTGACTTACTTTTGCCACTAATCCCCACAAATCTGTATTTAGAAAGGCCTAATTTTTTTATGCAAAGAGATTATGCTGATAAATTTTAATAGTTTTTGAAAGTCTGTATTTCTGAAAAATATTTTTTCTTTTATTGTTTACCATCAAACTTGCAAATTAACCTGTGCTCTATACAAAGACATAATTTATCCTTTTTTTCTTTTTCTTTTTTTTTATCTAGTCATCAAATCTTGCATATGCTCCTTGTTTTATATGCCGAGTCTTTTCAGGACTTAGGCGATCATGGCTCTCCACATCTTCCTGTCTTATGTTGCTCTAAGTAATTTTGACACTTTACCATCCCTCTTTGTCTTTGTTCTGCCATTCATTCACACATTGATTAGTTTACTTAATGTTTCCTACTGCTTCTCACATATGTGTCCTGTGAGTATTTAGACTGTCTTTATGTATTGTACATCCCCCAAATTTAATCTCTTTCTGATTGTAAGTATGTTTCCTTGTTCTTCTTCTTTTCCTTAACATTTCCTTGTTGCTCAGATATTCTGTCCACAGTAATCTTAGCATTTGTTGATAGAACTGCATCTTTTCTGCTTAACCCATTAGCATTCAACACACTCAAACCTGCCCAGTAAATATTGGCCCTCAAAGTCTCACTGTTGTCATATATTATGGCAAAGTATACATGGGGCAGGTTGAACATTGAGAATCGATATTTACAGGGAGGGTTTGAATGCTAAAGGGTTAAAGCCCTTTATCTGTGAGTAAATTATCTACTATTCACTGCTGTATAGAAGTTTAGATAATCTGTAGAACTTCAGCACGCTTAATGTGTATATATTTTTTTTTTAATATTTTCCTGTCTTATTACTTTGGTTAGTTTCTGGGAGTTAAATTACACAGCCAATGTACTTTTTTTTTTTTTTTTTTTTTTTAGATTTGATTCAGCAAATTTGTAGACCACCTAAAAGATTTTTAAATTTTCCTATTTGTAATTAGTATTTGGATTGACACAGTTTACTTCTTTTCAGAAGTATTATTACAAATATTTGAATAAATTCAGTTGACTATTCCCTCCCTTTTATCATTAGATACTTAACTTTCTTACAATAATCCAATTTTACACTGAACACCAAATTGTATATTTATCAATACCATAAACAATGCTATTTTATATGCATATCTGCTCTCAATCTCTAAACGATCTGCATCAGATAAAAAAAGATCAAGAAGTTTATAGTCTGAACAATTATTGTGAATATTCAACAAATTTTCATTTAATAAGATAACGAAATGACTTTTTTTTTTTTCTAGTATTAAACATTGACATGTATGAATAAAAACCTTTTTAGTAATTTTATTTAGTTTCTATTTTGTTTTTGAATATTTTTTCCTGGTGGGTTTTTTTTTTTTTTTTTTTTTGCTGAAAACCTTATAAATAATTTTATTTGACTTAATTTGCTGCCTGTTAATTTATAAAGACTTTGTCGAATTCTCTTTTTTTGTGTGTAAACAATGAAACCAAATCGGTGGAAAATTAAATGTATCATTTATTAAAACTTGATCCATTTCAGAAATTTTAGATAACAGCCATCCTGATGACGTAAATCTTTCTCTTGTGATGCATGAATTGATGAATGATGAAATAGAAGGATTACCGCCTGGTGGTGGGCTGAGTTCAAAGTGAGTAGGCTTTTCTTTGTTTCTGCATTTGTTACTTTTAATATTTGTTTAAAGGAATTACTTTTCTCAATTTTAGCTGCTTTATTTTTTGGCTTTAGATTTTTTTGTTTACACAGAAAATAATCGATAACTCGGTCATAATAATGTTGGTTCCTCCATAAGTCAAAGGTAATCTATATTTCCCATGATTTCACCTGTGCTTTATTTATACTGTTTTGAAACAAGTTATTTATCAAATAGTTTCTTCCTGTCTGTAAATATTCATAAGTAGTCATTTATTTTGAGGAATGCACAAATGTATGTATGTGTGCACGTAACAAACTAAAGTATGGGTAAAAACAACACAAAGTCTGCCAAGTGACCAAAGAAAATAAAAACCAAAACCAATAAATCAAAACACAAAGTGGAAAAGGAAACCAGCCTTCCTAAACAGTAAAAGACAGTGCTCTGTGTAAATGAGCAAGACAGCAATTACACTAACCAGCAACACTCCTCTAAAAGAAACAAAGGTCAGGCAGCTACTAGAGTTTCATGTGATTGTCAAGTGACCAGAACGAGATAGATATATATATATATCTGTGTGTGTGTGTGTGTATATATATATATATATATATATATATATATATATATATATATATATGTGTGTGTGTGATATAAAACCTGTAATGAGACATATAAAACCTCCTGTTACAATGTGAAGGTTGCAATACAATGGGCAAGAAAATCATAATGGTGTTGACCTGAATTAGCATTAAACAATCTTCATTGCTACTGTGAGACCAAAACAAAAAAACTGTATGATAGTAAAGAACCTAGTAGCTTGAAAGGATAGAATTATTTCTATCAAAAGTTGGATGTAATGCTTTAATGATGTTTCTAATAGTTTAACCCAAATGCTTAGAGAAATTGTATTTTCATGAAATAAGTGAAAGGAGATAAAGAAAGAAATAGCTGAACATGCAAAATTTGTGTTTATTTGGGAAAGCCTCTGAAAATATTGAAAAATATTTACATAATCTTTGCAACAGATCTAAATATTGTGAAATCAACAAACTGTATAAAGAAGACAGTATGAAAACTGAAATGATATGTGACTTATCAGATGTATGTGTAACACTTATTGAAAATGTTAGAATTGTTGCACTTGGGAAATATGTCATTTGATGAATGTATAAATCTTATACAAAAACTGATACCATGTTGTAATGTCAGTATTTCTAATAAAATAACCAAAACTTACTAATACTTCTCACTTGAATAAGAGAAAATTTTTAATTGCAAATTCTGTCAATATAAACATCTATATAATACTAAAACTCTAATCTTGTAAGTATGCAAGTGTCTTACCGAGATACACCTTAAACGATACATCATACACAGAGCCAGTTTAGGAGTGTATTCTAACTTGAAACCAGTGTCAAATTTCATTAAAATTAGACAGGGGATTTTTGAGCTAGGGTTGTTTTCCTGCTTTTACAGCATTTTTAATACAAAACTCAGTATATGTTTTCGATATTTATATCAGTCCGTGTATATAAACAAATATTTGCATATATTCCAACTATTATGTCTGTGAACAATAATAAACATTCATAATACATTATAACAGCATTAATAAATAAATTTAAATATGCATAATGTAACATTTACACAATTCACTACATTAGAACTTTTTTTTTTTTTATAAACAACCACTTGAAGGTGAAGAGGTTATATGTCACATGACTTGATAGTAAACAAATAGATGCACATTGATTTGCTGACATTGCATACTTTGAAATGAATGTGAGAAACAAACATGTATAATAAAAAAAAGACTACAATAAACCATCTTTTATCATCTTTAGTATTAATTTTGCATTCAAAGTACATTTTATGGAATAAATTTCTCTTTGAATGTAAAGTAGTAAAACTTATTAAAATCTGGATATATTTGCATAAAGTGTTTTTTCCTCTCTCAAGCAGAAAAAATTTACTTATTGACTAATAATCAATAAAAAAAACATGCTTATTTTGAAAAAGACTACACCTGTTTTAAGCTATTACTCCAAATTTTTATGCAATGTGTTAACTATGAAGCCCAATAAACCTTCTTTTCCTATCTTTAAATACAAATAAAAATATGTAATTAATAATAAAATTGGTAATATTGTTACCTCATCATTTTGTATCCTGAACTACTTTTAAAAGGAATCCAATGGGATTATAGATAATCTAGCCTTTATTAAAGAAGAATCTTTTGTATTTGGAAAGACATGTTGAAAATTCAGCAAAATTCTATAAGGATAAGTTTATAAATTACAAGAAAATTTGGAACATATTCAATGACTAATTGATAAGTTCCTATTAAATTGGATGAAATAAAAAGTTCACTTTGAAATTCCCTGAAGGTTACACGGATCAGCACACACCTAATCAGAGCCAGTGTACAAATTTATTTATTTTTTACTTTAACTGTTTCTTGTGAGTATTAAATTCAAGTTTTCCTTCCTTATTACATGTCCCCAAAATTCAATCTGTCATATTCTGATTTATAGTATTGATTAGATTTAAGGTTCTAAGTTCTATACTCAGGATTGTCTCATGAGATAATATTCTAGTGTATTAAAGCATTTGTTTGTGAGATTGGTGACATAGTAATTATGGAAAAGGCATCAGTAAAGGGGGGGGCAAGCAATAACAGTACTCTTTTTCCTTTTCTTTTTTTTATCATTTCACCCGAAGCAAAGCAATAAAGCATCTAAGATGCAAATGTTAATCATATAAATGTTAGTAATAAGAATTAGATGAGAGATCCCTAGACATAGATGGCAGAATGAGAACAATCTACACTCAATAGATTAAACGAAGATTACTATTTGAAATTCCTTGAAGATTACACAGGTCAAGTATCTGATGAAGGTCATATCAGTCAAAACATTGATAGCAACAAAGATGGAGACAATAGTATAAATGATGTAAACTAGAAAAACCTATCACAATTTCCTGATGAATCTTAATTCTTAAGTTGATGAATGAATATATGCTCATGGCAAATTTATAGAAATTCCAATATCACATTGTTAAATATTTGAGCTTAACAACTTTAACAAAATATTGCAATAACAATCATAAATATGAATGCTGGTCATTATTTTAAGAAGTGGGTTCAAATGAAAAGATTTGAAATTGACAACTTTTCCATTTCACTGAAACAGCCATTAAACACTTCTACTTTCCCTCCTTTCTTTCATTAATTTTCTCACTGAAACCAAGTAGTGTCTTTCTTTGTGATCAAAACTTAATAGTCCATTATTTATGAGGTATTGGTAGGGTGTAATGGCTGTGCAAACTAACAAAGGAAAGGACCAGCACAATTATAAAAGGATAAGTTAATAGTGGTAAGCAAAGTTACATTAATTCTCAGTAAATTTTGGATAGGTATTGGTCAACTTAGTTTTAAAAAGCTATTTGACAATTTAACAAATTCATGATTAAAACATTGATTTCTTCTGAAGTCACCCAGGAAACACAATCTGAAATTGTAGTCACTGATTGAAGAAAAAAAAATTTGTGGTCTTGTTGAAATTGATGTGTTAAATAATCAGAGTACAAGAATGAATTCTACTGATATTGAAGATACATGTATGCTAAAAAAAAAAAAATGAACACCTCTCATAATTTGACTAATGAGATTACAGTATATTCCTGCTAGAGATAGAAAGTAGACATTACCTATTGTAGTATTACCAAAACCTAATGAAGATTTACTTGTTTATAGTAACTATTGAATAGCTACTTAAGACTTTTATCTAACCTGCACATATTGAATATACCTATCATGAATTAGTTTAGGGTTAAATATTTTGCGAAATTTTACCTTAAAGATAGAATCAAATTAATGATTTTTGTGAAATCACTACCATTAATTCACCAAATAGTTTGCTGAGATAGATGCAAATACCTTATGTCAAAAGCAACAAGTCTCTTTCCTTTTTTTTCTTTTTTTAAGTATGTTATAGAAAAAAACCTTTGGAAAATGATATAGAAAATATGATAGCCTGTTATGTTTGGGTGCAACTACCAAAGAAAAAAATGAGTTTAACCCAAATTATATCAAATCAATTTAAAATCTTTACCTGTTGAAGTCTAGGGTCGACCATTATCTTCCCTACATATCTTCATAAACTGTGCCTTTTACTCTGTAACCCTCTACCTCTAGTGGCTCTTGGGCTTTCAGCAGTGACCATTGCTGTTTGCTGAAGTATGCTGAAATGATTGAAAAAAAAAGGATGTTTTTATCTGCAGCAGGTAACATCTAATAATTGAATGTTTGGTTATGATGATTTTTGTTACAAGTAAAGAAATTTTTCTTTTTGACACCTGTTCTGAAGAAGCTTCTTGCATAAAACATTGTTTAATAAATAGAACAGCACCAGCTTACAACACTTCAAAATGCTGCAACTGTTGACTAAAGGAGAAAATAGTAATAATCATTCAGAGACTATTTCAAATTGCAGGCTTGAAAACAAATATTATGCTACCTACAACAACATCATGAATCAAAGACAAAATAAAATCTTATAACCTAAATCTAATAAGCTTCAAGCACCAAAATTTAGAACTAAAGAGAAAATATAATAAATAATATATTTAGAATAAGTAAAATATGCAAACAACAGATCATGACTAAATAACTTAAAGCATTAGCACTAAAGAAAAGAACTGGGAAGAGCCAGTTTTTCCCTTCTATGTTTCTTAATCTTCCAATAGCCTATATGTAGAGAACACAAAGGGAGTAGTGACACTTAGTCTAAAGATTGCTTGAAATGTAAGACAAACTGAAACTTGCAATGTTGATTCCTTTAACCCCCACACTGCATGTGCACACACACACACACACACACTTCCCAAATAGATAATTCTAACTTTGGCCACAGAACCAGCCTGATAGGACAAACTGGCAGTAGAAACTGGCTTAAAAACTGTTTTCCCTGAGGTGTGTGTGTGTGTAGGGGGGG